GAACAAGCTGTATCGGAGTCTTGTTCTTGGTCGTCACCAAAAGTGGGGTCAACCGCATCGACTTCTCCTTCGGCCTCCAGCAGGTCATGCACAGCAAAACGGTTGCTGCCCTTGAACCGTCTGTCGCCCATGGGCTTTTTGCTGCCTGCCGTGCTCACGAGGTCCATGGCCTCCAGACCGACTACGTCCTTCATTAAGGCGAGCCAGTCAGTATATGCAATGTAGCCCGTGCCCAGGCGACTAGTAAAGTGAGTTGGGACCACGCCCTTGACCACATGCAAGCAAGATTAAGGGGACAACTCCAAACTAGGGGTGGCAAACAGTTTGCTTAGATAGGTCTGCAGGCTTTTCATGGAGCCATTCCACTTGCTGTGCTGTACTTTATCCAGTTGAATTCTTGCTTTAGCAGCAACATGTGGATCTTGGTATTCTGAGGTAAGGAGTTCTTCGAGGGAGGCAACAGGGGTGACCCTTAGCCATTTGGCCAATGCAGCCTTCGGAAACCCAGCCCGCGTTGCTTGGACTTCTAGGAAGCCCCGTACGACCGGCTCGACATTCATTCCCATGATCACTGCCTGGGTCTCAGTTTGAGTCCCCAAAATCTCGAAGTAGGCCCGCATGGAGCCGATCCAGGACTCGATGTCCTCCTTGCGTCGTACTTGGTCGGCATTTGAACCGACTTCCGGTCCACATAGGGACCTGCGTAGCTTGGACCAGCAGCAGCTGGTGCCGATCCTGAGGCTGCAGCACTTGCAGAAGTTCTAGCCTCATTGCTTGTTACAGCAACAGTGGAATCTGCACCTGCTGCAGGTCCTGAGGAAGTTGCCATCACACTCGAAGAAGAGGTAGAAGAAGATACAGTAAGAGGGGTAGAAGTAGTTCCGATTGCAGCTCCGGTCCCAGGGGGTATAGAGGGAGAGGGTTACTTGGGCTTGTCGCAGGTCAGCCACCTCCTTGGTCAAGTCATGGTACTTGCGGGTCATCTCAGTCAGATCATCCTGAAGAGTCTGCAGCTTCGCAAAAACTTCAGCGATCTGAGTGGTATCGTCCTCAAGATTCCGGACTTGAACCAAGGCTGTGAGTATGGACTGCAACTGTTCCCCACACTGCACTTCGGTCAGTGAGGGGACAGTCTCTAGGAGAGCCACTTGCCTTCTTAGCAGGGTCTCCTTCCTCTCCTTCTCTGTCTCCTGTTCCCGTTTTATAGCACCATCCAAGAGTGCTTGCAGATGTGGTTTCTCAACATCACGGGCTGCATCTAACAAGGCCCGCCATTGTGTTGAAGTTAGCTGGGCCATCTTTGGACTGTCTGTGTGGGCATGTGGATCAGAGAGTCGCCAGACAGCAAAATAATCAATCAGACTCTCAAGAGTTTCACTCCCCCTCGCGCTTAGACGAACACTCCTTTTCCCAGTCCTTGCCCACCTCAGACTATCACTTTCCCTCTCTCCCTGTTCTCTCTCCCTCCTCTCTCTTTCTTCTTTCAGATTGCGCGTCTCCACGGGCATCGGAAATGAACTCAGAAAAAGAGATACAGCTCAGAGTAGAGAAGGTAGAACTCCTAGCCGGAGCGGCATTTCATTTGGAAGTAGAGAACAGCAAAAGAAACAATCAAACTCAAAGAGAGGTCTGATCCAGCGACCCAGTCTGATCAGGCTGCATACTAGGTCCTCTCGAGTCCAGCCTGACCAGCTCCGTGTCCGTACAACAAATCAGACAACGAGTGACCAAATGCAACGATGGAGAATTGAGTGGTGTACAGGGTGCGAGTCAAGCCACGGATGGTGCAATCAGAATGCAAGCAAAACGTCAAAGCCAAGATCCCCTCGGCAGTGGGTGTCCTAATCCAAGAAGAATGAACTCATATCCCAGCCAAGAAGACAAGAGGTCAATGCCTAACCGATTTAGGTCCAGAGGCTCTCCTTGTTTGGGCCTGGTTCCGCTGGGTCCCAAGGGTCCCACTTGGTCCCAAGGGTCCCACGTAGGTCTCAACCAGGTCCCAACCAAGAAGAGTCCCACCTGAACTTAGTTCAGTCTCAACTGCACTGAAAAACGAAATTTCAACTTCTGGCAGAACCTACAGACTATAACCGTTCAGTGATGAAAAGACAAAGCACTGTAGAAAGACTCGGCATGTATAACAAGATACTTCATTTTCCATCCATCAGGTGAGTAGGTAGATCACACGCATCCAGTCACACAATCAAGACCACAGAGGAGTAGGAAAAGAAACCCAGAATACCCCAGCAGGACAATCAATACCATACACACATACATGGGCATCCCGTAGGTGCACGACACTTACCTGAGTGGCCTTGAGCTTCGAGATGAAGAGAACTCACCCCCCTTCTCATATGGTCCTCTTGACCCATCTAACGCTACCCCTACACTAGTGTCCTATCTCCTAGGAGGGTCTGACTCCAACACCCAAGTGCAACGCCGGATCCCCCGTCGATGCTGAAGAACAAAGTAGCAACTTGCAGTCCGTTGATGCAGAATGACCGCTGACCCTCAAGCTCGCCTACTTGAGGGCAGCCCTTAAGTTGCCAAGTGTCTCCCTTGAACCAGATTCCAGGTGCGAGTGCCTCTCACTGTCGCCTCTCTCAAATCGCCGCATGAAGTCTCCTTGAAATGTCTCGCCACCCCAATCTCACTCTCAAGCAACCTGGTTAGGGTCTATGTTGACCCCACATGACCCAACCAGGTGGGGGCAGCTTCCCTTAACCACCCTGCCCCACTTCCTTCAACCATCCAACCCTAACCCTAAGTGTTGTCCTCAACCACTTAGGTTAGGGTTAGGGTAGCAAAGTCAACTCTCACCAGCAAGTAGAATCCGCTCTGATACCAATGTTATGACCCTGGCCAAATTCGAAATACACATCCACTGAGAAGTACAATGTCATCCAATTGCAGAAAGAAATGAATGAACTTGAGAGGAGAGAGAGGAGTAGAAGAAGAAGAAGAAATGAGAAAGAAGAAGAAGAAGAAATACACCAGCAAAGATGATGACAAGGCTCTTCTTCTTCGCCCAACAATCTCCTCCTCCTTATCTCCCCCTTCTCTTATTCATACAAGAAATAATAGTACAATGTTGAATGACTGGTCCAGAATCATGTCCGAGTCCCTTTTCTACTGCAGGTACCATAGCCATGGCCGCCTCTCCCACTCTTCATACACATAGGCCGAGGCTATGGCGGACTACTAGGCCTTGCTCCGATGCCCAAAGGACAACACAAAGCAGCTATGGCTGCTTGGACTCAGGCCGCCATGTCCAACCCTGCCCTGAAGCTTCTTGGTGTGGCTTTCCCCGGCTGGGGACTCCTTGCTGCAGCGCCCACCAAGGTGATGAAGATGGCTGCCACCATATCCAGGTAAGTACCCCTGGCGCTCCTCCCCCTTCCTCCTTCCTTCCTCCTTCTTCCTCCCTCTTGTCCTTCTTCTTCCTCCCCAGCAGCGCAGCTCCAACCCAGCGCTGCTCCCTCCAGGGCTCCACCAGTGTGTCGCCATACTTGCACACCGAAAAAGAGGCCGGGTCTTCTGCCCGGCCGGAAGATATAGCGGCCTGCTTTGCCTCTTGGGCGGTGACTTCCAGGCCGCTGGCCTTCCCAAGCAACCGGTACCTCTTCCTCCTTTTGGAGGGAACATCATTGCAGACTCTGATATTGCCCCTACAGGCCCTAGACTCAGACTGGTACCCGCTAGACCTAGCCTGCACTACCGGCCTCTGAAAAATGCCACTTTTGTCTTCTTCTGCTCGGCCTCCGGTACCTGCATATTTACCCCCCTGCCGGGTGCAGTACCGGCCTACCCGCTACTTGAGTGCTTTTTTCCTGCTGCAACCCTTCGAAGCCACGGCCACAGGTAAGTACCGGCCCTGAGGGCCCAACGAACGAACAAGTGCCCTGGCGGGCCACACACACACACACTCATACCAACCAGCACTCAGACAGGCATTGTCACACACGCAAGCCAACCAGCACTCAGACAGACATGCAGTCCAGCAAGCACGCACACACACAGACTTAGCAGGCGGGGAACTCAGTAGGGCATTCAGTCAATGAGCAAAACTCAGAAATCAGCTGTGTGTTTCAGTCCGTGTTTGGACGGGTTATCGCACGTCAGCAAAATGTACCACCTTGGAATAAACAGCAGTGAATTGAGGATCGACTGCTGCCGACTACGTATCAAACCAACGTGAGCAAGCAGTAGCTGATAATTATGAAATACAATCGCTGCTGATGTCAACAGGAAAGTTGTCTCACAGTAGGTAAAGGATTGTCCCACCATAACTGATTGTCCCACCATAACTGACGCCTTCATACATAGATAGGCATCAGAGAGCCTTTCCTGAACCGTATGTGCAAGTTTCCTCGCATACAGCTCTCACGGAGGTCCTTAGTTAGCGACTGTAAGTAAGCCGGCAGAGGCTTGGCAACTGCGACCTGGATGGACGCCGTGTGAATGATCAATCAAATCTGTGTTCTCCATAGGACCCTTTGACCGTCCATTATTCCTGCCACACACAGACTAATAAAATAGATTAAATTTAGATATACTAAGGCCAGACTTGACTAGACTAGACTAAGGGTAGAGTAGAGGATAGAAGAAGAGAGGAGAGGAGAGGAGAGGGGAGAAGAGGAGAGAAGAGGAGAACAGAGGAGGGCAGAGGAGAGGAGAGCAGAGTGGAGTAGAGGAGGGCAGAGTAGAGGAGAGTAGAGAGGCCGATTTGTCCTGATCGGAGGACTTCCCCCTGGGTAGAGGATCCAAAAAGTCATCATTTTCTCAAAAAAAGAAAAGCAGTGTCATTTGCATGTTTGACCCTGTTTAGCAAAATGATGATGCTGTCGTTTGCATGTATGGTTGGTTGTGTTTCTTAAGCTGCCTGTGGACGTACGCTCTTAACAAATTGACTATGATGGTAATTGTAGTGAAATACTAACTGAGAATGATGATGGAGGATGACGGTAATCTGTTGTTTGTGGTGGATTGCACCTGTGCAGGCGATGAAAGTGCTCGAAGGCCTTGTTCGAGAATACCAACTTGGTCTGTCAGGGGTGACACCCAATGGGATTATGTTCAACACTGTGCTGAATGGGTGCGCAACTGTAAAAAACAGGGCCCTGGCAGAACGATGCCTGGAGCTCATGAACATCGTCAACATTCCGAAAGATGATGTCACATATACAGAGCTGATGAAGGTGGGTAAGTGCTGCGTCACAGTTCAGAGTGTGTGCGGATTGCTTGCCTCTCTCCAACCCAAGCCAACCCAATTCACTGCAATTTGATTGAAAACATGGTTGGACTGCGCTTGCTGAGATCTCCCCGAATCCCCAAAAAAAACTTTGAACAGAGAAGTTTCGTTTGTGTGTGTGTGGGAGGGAAGGGGGGGGAGAGGGGGGCCGTATTTCAGGGGTTGGCGGTCGGGGGGTTTATGGTGGGGGTGTGAGTGGTGGGGTTTCAGCAAGCACGGGCTTCAGCAGACACTGACAACAACGTACCTGGCTTTCTGCAAATGTTGACCTTCCACCCAAAAACTTTGAAATGAAAGGGAGGGGGGAGGGGTTTTAGTGGCACGGTAGGGATGGTACTTCGCACCCAAAAACTTTGAAAAGGGCGGCCGATCTGGGTTGCCGATCTCTCGAGATCAGCGGTCCAGATAGGCCGCCCTTTTCAACCCTTTTTGGCGGGCCTACCGGACCCGGTCTGACTTTTTTTTGGGCCTACAGTCTGCGTGGAGACCTCCTGGCCCAAAACAAAACTGGTAAGACCCCCCAGATTGGATGCGCTAGGGCCCCTTGGTGCTTGTCACTGCTGTCTGATCCAAGTTGCCCTCGATACTGGTAGGGTGGAGGTCCTGAGTGCTGGTCGCACTGAGGTAGGATAGTAGGGATAGGGTGTGCGCTGGGAGTATAAACGCAGGGAAGGGTAGGGAAGGTGGCGTATCCTGTCATGACAACCACCGGCTGCTGCTGCCAGTGATCACCTTGGGTCTAGTCCTTGGCCTCTACAACACCCTGGGCACTCAAAAAAAAAAAGAAAAAAAAAGGATGCGCTGCAGCCAACCAGGGCGGAACCGGTCCGGTCGACCGGCCCGTAGGACCTGTCTGGTTCCGGTTGGGGAAGGGCCCCCCGGTCCTACTGGGCTTACAGTACTGACTCAATGACATATTTTGTCAACGCAGTTACTTGTGCTCTTTGACTTTGCTTCTTCTCGACTACAGCATGGTGTGGCGTCTCACTGTATGTTTGTGTGTCTCTGGATCATTGATTTGAACACTTTGACTGATGTTCTCAACAATCCAGTCCAACCCAACCCAAACTGTTCAAACCCTCGCTGACTCGTTCCAACCCAATTCAACCCAGACTAACCCATGTGCAACTGCATCCAACCCCATCTGAACCAATGGAACCAAATTGGACCAAATCTAAGCCTTATACACCCTAATCTAACCAAATCTGCCCCAATCTACAACACAAGCCACACCACTCCAATCCACTCCACAGCACTCCAACCCCCTTCCATCCACTCCAACCCAGTGGAACATAATCTGACCCAGTCTACAACGCAACCTAATCCAGTCATATCCAATCCGACCCAGCCTACAACGCAACCTAACCCAATCAAATGTTTGATTCAATCCAATTCAACGTAATCCAACCCAAGCCAATTCAAGCCAACGCAATCCAACCCAAGCCAATCCAAGCCAATCCAAGCCAATCCAAGTCAATGCGAGCCAATAATCGAACTCTACGCAAGTAGATTCAAGATCCTGTCTCCGCACAACTGCCTAGCATCCCTAGCTTCTAGACGTTCGTCGGGCAGAAGGATTCAGGGGTCTCACCTAACACTTGTTATCTGACTGCTCGCCTCCATCCCCATTAGAAGCTTAAGAACTAAGACGTCGTCATTGGCTGTTCCATCGTTCACTTGCAGCTCGAGGGTGTTCTGCGTAGTGAGGAAGGTATCGAGAGGTGGTGGAAAGAGCTGCAGCAATTGTCTGCACATCCAACTCCTTATGTGCACACTGCGCGTATCGTGGCTATCTGCAGATCTAGAGATGTTGCTGCGGCGGAACGAGCTCTCATGGAGATGGTGGAGAGTGTTACAGATGCGCATCGAGGTCGGGTCAACGAAGCTGGCATGGAAGCAGCAGAGCCTGTGGTTGAGCACAATATCGATGCATTTGTTGGTGGCGGTCCCTATGATTCTGCGAAATTACGTGATGAGAAAGATGGCGAAGACGATGCGATTGTGCACACAGAGCACGCCGTGCTAGATGCTGCTGTTCTTCGGGATCACGAGGAGATGAAGGGTGCTGCAGAGCAATGGCTGGATCATGCTGCCAGCTCCAGTTTGAGGGGCAATGAGGGGCAGGAGATGTCACCTTCCAATGGCTCTTGGCAGCAGCGAGGGGATGACCCGATGGTAAATCAGGACAGTGCTTGCTTGAACAATTTTGAGAAGAAGAACCTGGAGGAAAAAGCAGTAGGGGGGTGGAAATGGTGGGAGGGACCGCTTCCCGAACTGATGGATCGACAGACTCGCAGACTGCTGTCCCAGGCATATAATGCTGTTATCAACTGCGCGTACCACAATGGGCGAACGGACCTCGCGGAGCGCTTCTATGCTGAGGTGTGCTCTCTGGTTCCTACAGGTGCAAGCTTCGCCTCTCAAGACCGTCATTTTTGTCACAACTTGCAATGATTTTTTTATTTTTTATTTTTCCCCTTTGCTACATTCTTTTTTTTTCTTTTCTTTTAACAACGCATGCCCCATCTATTCTGGGGGGCGTCATTCCGGTTGTTCATCACCGGCAAGCATGTTTTTACATGGAAAAAGCAGCAAGAAAGAAAAGAAGGTGAGACAGACAAGACAAAGTTACAGCCACCCTTGCAGTTCTAGCCGCTTGCACAAGGGGGGGCCTGCTTCAGCCGTTCTCCCCCCGAACCATAACTCGTTTGCAGGGATTAACTTGCTGGCCGGGTAGCTTGCTGGCAACACCCAGACATGGAACGGGTGGATCCTATAAACGGCAAGGCGCGGGGGAGATCTGCCTGGCAGCCTCACAGGCCGCTCGACGTCCAACACCCACTTATATGTTCCTTTCTGTTATAGTTTCCCTACCTTCTGTTGACTACTACAATCCTCCCCTTGTGACATGTTATACATCCTTTGTCACTCTCTAACGTGCTACCTCCCCCCTCCTCCAAGGTCACAAAATGTGCATTGCTCCTTTGTTAACGTGCTATGCTATGTGCCACTACCCTCTTGCCATGTGTCCACAGTTCCAGTGTACCTGTCCTGCTCATTGACACTCGTAGTCACCTTTGGTCTATGTACAATACCCCGGTCATTTCCATTTGGTTTTACTCCCTTTCCACCTTCACCCCTTGTAATGAGTTTTCACCGCTTGGCAACACTTCCCCCCCCCCCCCCCCCCCCCCCCCCCCCCTTTTCATCACAACTTGTAATGAATTTTCACCAATTGACAACACTTTTTTTTTTTTTCCTGTCCCCCCCCAGTGAAGACCGTCTTTTTCATCGCAACTCGTAATGATTTTTCACCAATCGACAGCACTTCCCGCTGTCCCCCCCCCTGCCCCTGGCCTTTACAATCAGTGTAACTGGATATGAAAAAAGAAAAAAACATTAACATAGTTGAAGACAGGAAGGGAAGAGTGGGGAGGGGCGGGGGGAGAAACAATAGTATTTTTTCAACAACAATGTAGTTGCAAGGAAATTCAGCGAGAGTGACAGACAGAGAATCAAATTGCAACATCACAGTGTAGACCAGATAGTCATGTCCCAAGCAGAACGCAGAAAGCAGAAAGCACTGTGCGAGGCCACTGCCTCTATGAGCCCCTTTCGGGCCCTCTTTTACAGCCCGTCCGCCGCCCTAAGTGAAGGCAGGCTTGACAAGGCCTTCAGGGCCTTATTTCGGTCTCTGCGCAACTAAATAAATTCAGACAGTTGCGCAGTGCCAGTTGGTTGAAGAAACCCAGGCCCTGGGCCGCCTGTGTGAATGAATGGAAAGCAGTCCCTGGGCTGGATACGGGTACTGGGCCACACACATGCCAAAGGCAGTTGGGCACATGCAACTACCGCAGGCCCCAGGCCTGTTCTCGATCGTACT